AGGCCCCTCCTCCGCATAACCCTCCCCCTCAACACAACTCTCCTCCACATACCCCTTCCTCACACACTCCTGGGACACACACACACACAGGCCTTGCCTCTCTCCCTCCCTTTGCACACACCCTTTTTTTTCCTGGGGGTCTCCCCGCTTTTGAAGGAGGGTCTCTCTGGTTTTGTACCCCGCTTTTCATGGGGGTCTCCCTGATGTGGCACCCCACCTTTTGAGGAGGGGCTCCCTGATGTGGCCCCCTGCTTTCTCAGGATGCTCTCCCTGGGTTTGCACCCCACTTTTCATGGGGGGTCCCCCTGCCGTAACACCCTGTTTTTGAAAGGGGGCCTCCCTCCTTTTCGTGGGGCTCTCCGAGGGTTTGGCACGCCACTCCTTCATGAGGGTCTTTCCACCTCATCTGAGTCTCCCCATTTTTCCAGGTTTGTGCACACACACCCTTTGGGGGGGGCCTCCCCGGGTTTGCACCCCCTTTTTAATGAATGTCTCCCCACTTTCCATGGCAGTCTCTTGCTTTGCCCCCCCCCCGCTTTGTGTGAAGGTCTCCCCTTTTTTCATAGGGGAGCCTTCCCAAGTTTGCACCCCACTTTCTAAAGAAGGTCTGCCCACTTTTTGTGAGGGAAGGTGCCTCTGGTTTGGCACCCCCACTGTTCATGGTGATTTGACACTTTGTTTTTTTTTCTGGGCGTTTTCATGGGCCTCCCCCAGTTTGCACCCCATTTTTAATGAGGGTTTTTCACGAGGGCTTCTATACCCCACTTTTTCTGAGGGTCTCCCCACTTCTCTTGAAGGCCTCCCTGCTTTTGCACCCCACATTTTATGACTCTTTTCCCACTCCCCCCCCATTTTAATGAGGGTCTCCCCACATGTTCCTCTGAGACTCCCTTCTCTCTCCCCCCTTCCCCCCACATATCAATGAGAGGGAAGGGGCTGTGTCCCCCCCTTCTCCTGAGGTCACCTGGGGAAACCCCCAAAACTGGGGAGAGTGGGGGCCCAACCCTTCAGAGCCCACCCCCCCTTTTTCAGGGCCATCGCTTTGCTTGTCTCCCCTTCCATTTCTAGCTGGAAAAGGGGAAAAATAAGAAACACACATTCTTCTTAATTTTAATCTTCCGTATTATCTTATTTTTGTATCACGATGTCATCCTTCCAGAGCTGCTCTGACAGAGTCAGGTGGGCTGCGCGTATAAATTTAATAAATAATAAAACCAGCTGCACTCCTCCTCCCCCTGGGGAGACAAAAGGCTTGGGATCGACCCTCCGTGCCTTTGGGTGGAAGGTTAAAAGTTAGCCAGATCGGATCCAGAACCGAATGACTTCTAAGGCTGCCCAGAGTCACTTTATACATGAGAGAAAGAAGTTTATCTCGCCTATTATCTCGTGCATTTTTATGCGAGATGAGCCACATATAAATGTAATCATAAAAATAGATAGAAAGCAGGAATGCTGTTGGGAAGACTGGCATTGGAGAGGCAGAATGCACCTTTCCCTCATATAAAGAAGTTGATTCCTTTAGAAACCTAAGCAGACAGGTATTTCTCTTTGCGTTCACCTGGAAAGCGGGCAGGTAATTTTCTCTCTGTGTTTACCTGGAGCATTTTAGATCTTGAATAGGATCCTTCAAGGGGTGTGCTGGATCCTACAGACCGCTCGCCTAATTTGTGCGTCCTGTAAAAAATAATGGACATTTTTAACCTGAGTTTGCATTGGAGTATGGAGTGAATGCCTTGTGTTTTAAGAGCATAGGTGAATGGTTTATTTAATTCAAGGGTGGGTGAACTATGGCCCTTTGATGACTTGTGGACTTCAATTCCCAGAATTCCTGAGCCGGCATTCTGGAAGCTGAAGTCCACTAATATACCGGCGGATTGCCCACACAGGCTCAGGGATTCTGGGAGTTGGAGTCCACAAGTCATCAAGGGTCACAGTTCCCCACTTCTGCTTAATTGTTTCTTTTCAGGGGAAAGATTTTCCAAATTAGGAGCAACTGGTAGGAAGAGGCTGGGAAAAAAAAGTTTAAAAGGTAGCAGTGACCACTCGACTTTTTATGAGGGTCACCCCATCTTGTCTTTTTTTTTTTTTAATTTTGATTTCCAGATCTGTATATTTCCTTGCACCTAACATTTGTTGATCCAGGCAACCTACCTTCTGGTGCACTGCCTCTATTTAAGGCAACTTCTGATGTAAAATGTTAGGGATATATTTTTTAATCCTAGGGTTTTAAAAGTGTGGACACCAAGTAATTCCGCCATGCATTGAATTTGAACTTGAGAGGGAAGGTGTGGAATGCAGTGTTTGCTGGGAATTTATAAACAAATGAACTTTTAGAACGTGTTTTTCAAATTATTTTTAAGTATTTTATGCATGTGTTGTTATATACAAGTTAATAATCCTTTGTGGGGTAGTTCTGCCTACTTTGGGAATGTATTTTAAGGCAGGGGTACCCAACCTGGGGAGTTGTGGACTTCAATTCCCAGAATTCCCCAGCCAGCATGGGGAATCTTGGGAGTTGAAGTCCACAGGACTTAAAGTTCCCAAGGTTGGACACTCCATTTCAACCCCTTTCTTGGGCAGCCAGTGGCTATTCTGAATGCACAGGGACCCAAAACAGTTATTCAAATATATCTTCCAGTATAAATATATCTTTGATATATTTGATATATCTATATCAAATATATCTTCCAGTATCCTACCTCTACCTGCTATCCAGGTAGATATGTTTGAGGCTGAAGTTATAAGTGTGACGTGTTCTTGTTACTCTATACTTTCCTCATTTTAAGTGTAGCTAAGCACTTGGCAGATAGCTGTACTCTTAAAAACTCAGTTGGGTTTAATTTTAGAGCTGTAGCGTGAATTGCAAGAATTGATTGTAACTGATCATAGGATTTGCTGACTAATGTGGGTTATCAACTGACATCTGTTTCTCCTTATTCAAAGCACTTAAAATAGGTCAGAAGAAAACAAACCTAGTATTGCCCTAACCTCACTAGGTTAGGGGTTAGGTGAAGTGGCAAGACAGGGGAATTGAGAGCCAGGATTTGAAAAGGGCTGCAGTATATTTGCAGCCTGTGACCTTTGGCTCAGTGTCCCAGCAGCTCAACATCCCAAGAAATCTCTTCCGTGGAGATGCCAGCGGGAAGTTTTGAGCCGCAGTTATGCTAAAGCGGATTGTAAACATAAGACTTGATAAGGGATGCCAAGAGAACCCATAAAAATGAAAAAAATAAAAATAAAAGCCCAGCTTTTTAAAAAGCTGGCATGGGGAGCCTTGTGTCCTGAATATGAAATCCCATGTATTGGTAGACAGCAAAGAGAACTGAAGTGCCCCAGTCCAGATAATCACGGCCGTATTACGGAAGGCAGATTAGGACCCTAATGGTTCAGCTGGATCGAACCCAGGTTCAGCCAGGCAGCTATCTTTCATCAACCGGCAGCTGAATGCATGCAGGGCAGGAGATGACCTTGGTTGGTTTTTTCCAGAGCGCCTGGTATCCAGAGAGGTGCGGCTTCTATCTGTGCAACAAAATTCCATTTAACTCTGTGCTTAGAGAACCACAGAGGGTGATTTTCTGTAGCCCTTCTAAAAAAAAAAAAAAAAGAACATATATTCTGGAGACCCCCATTGCAATTATTGGACCTGATGCAAATAAAATACAGAGTGCAACTAAGGAATCAAACCTTGAGCCAGTCAAAATCGAACCGCTGGCTGTGGGCAAAACTTAGCCTGCAATACTGCATCCTGACCACTACGCCACCATGGCCAAGATAGCAATAGCACTTAGACTTATATACTGCTTCAAAGGGCTTTACAGCCCCCTCTAAACGGTCCTCATTTTACCCACCTTGGAAGGGCGGAAGGCTGAATCAACCTTGAGCCTGAGTGAGATTTGAATTGCCAAATAACAGGCAGCCGGCAGGCAGCAGAAGTAGCCCGCAGTACTAACCGCAGTGCCACTGTGGCTCTTATGAAGGATTACTTAGTTGGGTCATGAAACCGTTTGCTAGAAAATCACCAGAGCTCCAAGACCATCAAGGACCTCTCATTTCAACCCTGAGCTATACACATATTCTCCTTTATTGTTGGGTAAAGGCCAACGAAATGGAGCAGTGCAATTATGAATAGCATAAGGAATATATACCGTAAATATATTACTTTGAGAAAGAGCAAGCAATTAAAATCAAATGGAGCACAGGGTCTTTCCTAGAAAAATGTCGGTAGGAAATCTAGTCTTTATCTTTTGGGCTGTGATCTTTGAGGACCCCCTCCTGCATCCTTTGAAGATTTCCTTACCTGTTTCTGAACGTTCCTCCATTCTTCTTCCGTATGAATTAAGTTTTTAACAAGAAGAAAAACTTTATCTTCACGGGTTGGTCTTCTGTAGCCACTGTCTAGTTTTTCGACAAAGCGGGGCGAAAATGGCCATTCTGGAATCAATAGCTCAGAGGCATCAATTAGGTTCGGTAGCTTTTTGAACATGAGACACTAATGTTAT